TAAGCCGGTACCACCCCTACGGCAAGAGCCACTTATCCACAGCGGGGGGCCTGGCGGTCCCGTCCCTCCCCACAGCCGGACCCTACTATTCGCCATACACGCTGTACGGACAGAGACTAGCCTCCGCCTCGGCGCTCGGATACCAGTAACCGCAGCTGTCCCCGTTCAGCCTCCGATCCCTCCTCCCTGTCCCCGCGCCTCCGCTGCAGCCTCCACTATGGCTTCTCCCTGCCGGGAGCCCCGCCCCACCCTGCCCACTGGACTGTGTATTTATTTACTGTAATGTTAGCTTACAAGCTGGGAATATAAGTGCATTAACGGCCCACACGAGTCAATGGTATGCAAAAAGTCTATGTTCCCCCAGTAATAATATTAACCACACAGATAACTACTCTGTCCCGCCCCACCCCTCTTCCTGTCTTTATGGTTTGATTTTCTTTATGGTTTTCTTCCCTTTCTTTATGGTTTGATTTTGGGGAGAAGCGGGAGCTTTGGGGTTCTTAGGTTCTTCTGTATGTTTTTCCCGTCCTGGGGAATTTCTTGCATGAATCTTAACCATTCAAACTACATTTTCCCCTTTTCCCCTTCATTCCCTCTGGTTTCCTTCCATTTGAGGTTTTGTTTTGTTTTCTTTTCTTTTGTACAAGTAGTGGAGAGGAGTTTCAGTTAACAGTTTGGGGGTTGGGGAAAGAACTTGGTGGCTGGATGTCTTGCGCTCTATTGACCCAGCGAACCCCTCTCTTAGGGCCTCGGTCCCTAGCCTTGCTCTGAGTGGGAGAGCTCTGACCCCGCAGCAGGCTTCCCCTTAGAGGGTCCAGGGGCCTGGGACAGCCTGTCTGCCCACTCGCCTGGTAGTCACACTGCCCACTCGTGGTGGGCTTGTGGGGCTCCTGTTCATTAAAAGGCCTAGAAGGCCCCGCTGGCCTGCAACTTTTCTTGTTCTGTTTTTGCAAAGTGCTTTACCGTCATTGTTTTTTCTCTCCCTGATGGGGCTGTGACCCCACTCCCTGGGCGGAGGGGCGGGATCCTTGCTGGATCTGCCAAGTCCACAGACGGAAAGTGCACCCCTGTTAGCAACGTGCGGGGCAAGTCGGGGACTCAGGGAGCACTTGGCCCACAGCAACCCCGCGCCCCCTTCCAGGCTGACCCAGCAACCCCCAAAGTTGGCCCTGGGATGAAGACCGGGCCCTGGGTCTCCTCCCTCCTTCCCTCCCTCCCTGCCGGTCATTGCAGCAGCGGCCGGGCTCGGGCCTGTTGGGGATGAAGAGAGCTCTCCCTTGGTAAGACTTATTTTGTTAATAAATGGAATACTTGGCTATATTCACACCGTGGTGTGTTTCTCTCTTGCCTCGCTCACCACCCAGTTACCAGACGCCTAACCAGGTGCCCTTTTATTTTGTTCAAAACGCCTTAGGGCTTCCTTCTGAGACTGCCGTTTGAGTTTAAGCCTTTACAGAAAAAGAGGGGAAATAGGGAGAAAAAACTTCTGACAACGCTAAAACGACCTTTACCACCCCGCCCCGCCCCCCGGTGACCTAGCTCCCAGCCTCACTTTGAAGGCCTTGGCACTTGCTAGGACCAGAGTGGAGGGCATGTGTAATCCTGGATCTCCCTCTGAGGCCAGACTGGAGGTGCAAGGGGCTCAGAAGGCCACCGGGACTGAGGGCTCTGGCAGAGACCTGCCCCAGCCGCGTCCCGGGATGGGCGGGAGGTGCGCAGGGACGGCGTGCCTCTGGCGCCATCTGGTGGCGAGAAGACAAGCGACAGGCGGGGAGAACTGCGACCGGCGCCAGCCTCGAGTTTCCCATCCCCTAAATTCGGACGATTTCTACTTGCTGGATTTTTTCTTATGGGACGAGATCCTGACTTAAGTGACTAAATACACTTGCTGAGATGCTAGCTTCGCAAGGCCGGGGGTGGCCCCCTGAGCTGGGTTATCCTCTTCCTTGAGACTGGCAGCCGACAGTGGCTGCTGTGTCCCAGGGTGGGGAGCACTGGGGTGCCAGATGGTGGGTGTGGGCGCCCACCAGGCCGCCCGACTCCACGGAAGCACGCGCAGCCCCCGAGCCCCCTCCCGGCCGCGCCGCTCCAGGGGGCTTCGGGGTGTCCGCGCTGTGCTGCTTCCGTCTGCTGCAAGGGCTGCGATTTCTCGGGGAGTCTGTGCCCCGCGTACGGCTGGCTGCCTGCCTCGCTGCTTGGCGGGTCCGCAAACGACAGAAGCGCGGGTCGGGGGCTGTGACACGTGGGGCGACTGAGTGCTCCCCTCAGGACTCCACAGAACCTTAGCACAGAATGTAACAGGTCCGTGTACGTTTGCAGAATTCCTCCCTCGGTCAAGAAAACATCAGGGTTCTCTGCAGCGTCCGTGCGGGAGGGGCCTGGGCCTCCTGAGTCTGGGGGACCTGGGGACAGGCTGAGTGGGTCCTCCCGGGGGATCGGCTGTGTCAGGTTGTTCAAAGTTCTGAGGCGCTCCCCCTTTTCCCCTTCTCTGTTGTTTGGTTTGCTGTTTCTTTCCATCCTCTCCACCCCCCTGCAGGCACCCTTTTTGTTGCTTTCTATACCTGCGAAAACGAATGGGAATTGCTCCCTCTGCTGGGGACTAAAACCTTCTTCCTCTCCTACGCTTTCCCTCAGACCTCCCTCCTATGGACAGAAGGGCTTCTCTCCTTGGGAAGGGAGACAGGGAGCGGTATCTCCCACAATAAATTCTCCATTTAGCAAAAGAAACTTTTCTAATGCTTCTGGGCTTCCACCTTAGCTGTAGGACTGCAGCTCAGGACACTCTGGGGACAACTGCACTTCCTGAACAAAATCTACTGAGCACCTGTGGAGGCTGGGCCTGGCTGCCCCCAAATACCTTCGGGCCTCCAAAAGGAAAGTATCCTAGTCTTGGGTGTGAGCCTCTTACCCAGAAGCCTTACCTCTGTCCTCCCATAATTGGAGACCTTCGGAAGAAACGTGGCTGTTTTAATTAGCTAGTTGGGAGCTTGTTACTTTCAATAGGTTAATTCCATTAACCAAAGTTGCCATTTTAATCAAGAGGGTCCTCCTCTTGACTGCGGATCTGCATAATTAACTCTTTCTCTGAGAGTCCCTTCTACCTTCTGTGTCTCTGCCCTCCTCCTCCTCTTTCTCCTAATCTACCCCCACTGCCAGAAATGGGGCCTGTCCCCAAGGCGCCACACCATGGAGCTGGAAAGCAGGACCTTGGTTGTTCCTGGCTCCAGGTCCTATTTTCACACCTCTTGCAGGGCTATTTTTGTGGCTCTATGGGCTGCAGGGGCAGCAGAAGAGGAGAATGAAGGGACTCACCCCCCAGATGTAGGTTTGATTTAATCAAATTGCACGGTATTCCCAACCATCCACCTGCAGGCCCAGCTCCTAAGAACTCCACAGCCCGCTGGGGAGCTGGAGGGCCCCTCACGATCTCTGTGCAGCCAGAATGGCCTCACCCTGCCTGCACGCTGCAACGGTGTCTCTCAAATGTATGAACTTCCTCCTGATGTATGTCTGGGTTACCGTGGAATTCGTCATACAATAATCCTGCGGCTCTGCACTTTATTAATCATTCTGTAGGGGAAGCTGCACTCCAGTTTTCTGTTTGATTTGATTTCATTCATCCTGTCTTTTTGCAAAATAGATGGTTGAGTGCATCCGATAATGTATGGTTTAATTTGGAGCACTATGGGTTTGAATTACCATTTTCATAATGTGCTGTGCATTAATGTGTTACATCATTTATAAAGAGGAATGTGCTGGGTTTCAAACTTTCTCCTGAAATCCAAAGTCACCTAAAAGAAACAAAGCCAAATCACCCAACCCATCTTCCTACCTCCCTGCCGCAGAAACTCCTGCGTCCCCAACCTGGGTTAAATCTGCCAAAGCTCCCCACACCCGACAGTGGGTTAGTACTCGCCGTGAAACACTGGTGGGTGTTGAGGGGACCCAGCACCTGTGGAGTACAAAACTCCCCTCGTTATGGCCTAACAACAGCCTTGCCGCCAGCCCAGCTTGCACTTGCGGAGACCTCCAGTGGATGGCTCTCTGCTGCCCTAATCCCAGTGCCCCTCCTCAATGGCTGTAATAACACCAGCTGTCTGTTACTCAAACTCTGACTGAGGAGGAAAAAGCACTGATTATCCAAATACAGTCATTAAAGGGGAAATGTGTTTTTAGGACTGTCAGAGTGATTAATGAGGGCTAGCCGTCTTTGCAAATGCACTTGTTTAGTCTAACTGGCAGCTTCTATTTTCCTATTGATTTATTGCAGCCGTTGCCGGGCCTCGGTGTGTGCGAAGTCAGGGCACTTCACAACTGCGCCCTGTTTAAACAGGAAAAGCATGCACCATTTTGTCGGGGAGGAGGGAGCAGCCCAGAGTCTCTCCCTTCAGTTCAGTCCCCAGGGCCCCAGACCAACAAAGAAGACATTAAAAACCTGCAGCCCTGAGAGGGAAGGAAACTGCCTCCCTCGGTCTTCCCCAAGGTCAGTGGAACCTTGCCAAGGCCAATGCTCAGCCTAGGGTGACCCTCAGCGTGTCACATCTTCTCCTGTCCCTCCAGCCCAGCTGTCAGGCCTGGTGCAAGGACAGGAAAGGCCCCCAGCAGTGTGAAAGACCAGCCAAGGAAAGCAGAGTCCAGGCTTCCCTGTGGTCCAGTGAGCAGCCGGGTGCCCTGTGCTGCTAGACGCCACGGGGGGCTTCTGCTTTTCAGAAAGGTTGAGGCAAACCATGAAAGTGCGGTCTGCTCCTTTCCCCCGGTACATTGCTTGTCTGGATACACTGGATATCTGACGACCAAAATAGAGAATGCACGGCTTGAAAAGAGAGACCTGAGTGTCTGGGGTTATACTTCCAGGAGGGCAGTCATTGAGGCAAACAGAGTTTGCAGAATTCCCGGTATATGCCCAGCACCATGCTGGGTGTCATAAAATAAGGAAGAAATCTCAGGCTAATTTCCTGCCTAATTTATCAGCACGGGGGGGAGAACAAGACACAGCAGCCAGGCAGGAAAGAGATGGCAGTACGCATGACCACGCTATGCGGACCCCACAGAGCGCCAGGTGACGTGCGGATTGTATCCTGGACCAGATGTGATCGGGTGCTAACTGTGCACTTCAGATGGCTGAGCTGCAGGAAGGAGAGCTCTCTTGGGCTGCTGGAGGGGATGAGGCTCCCTAATTCTTGGCAGGCCCACCCTTTTGAAGGCCAATAGACTGGTGAAGTGCTAAGAGGGCCAGACTTGAGCACCTGAACCAATAATCCCTAATCTTACAGCAGATCGAGGTCCAGGCTTAACAAACGCTATTCACAACACTCCTGAGCTTTGGTCCACCGAGTCCCTAATCAGCCTGTGCCTCCCAAGGAGCATTCCAGGTGTGGACATAGCTCGTGCTTCCTCCTAAAAGAAGTACCTTTCCAGGTTTTCCTCTAGGGTGGTGGCATATCACTGGTGCTATTAATACTTCCTAGATGTCAGTGGATTACAAAATACAGTCACTTTCTCTACTCTCAGCCTGTAGGTTTGACTTCTTTTCTTATAAGATCCTCAGTTCACTTGTGATTCAGAATCCAGGCAGCTAGGTATCCCTGTATTTTGGCAAACTTTGGGGCTACTCTGGAAATTATAGAATGTCTCGTCATTATGCAGATGATAGAAAAAACATTGAAATGAAAGTCTCAGAACCTAGATTTTGTTCTAGGTATAAAACTTGATTATTGTGGAACCTTCAACAAGTTACTTAGTCTCTCTGAAACATCCCCATTTCTAAAATGCAATTGTTGGGCCCTATACTCTTTCAGCCCTTTCTAACCTGAATATTCTTTTTTTTTCTTTTTTTTTTTAAGAAACAGAGTCTCAGCATGCTGACCAGGCTGGCCTTGAACTCCTGGGCTCAAGCGATCTTCCTGCCTCAGCCTGCCAAGTAGCTGGGACTACAGGCATGTTCACCCAGTTTCTATGAATTTATAAAATATTTAAAGAGTCAAGATCACGATGAGTGGAGCTAGTTAAAATTCCTACCAAAGGGCCAGGATTTAGCTCAATGGTGATGCCGCCTGCCTTGCAAGCGCAAGGTCCCAAGTTTGATCCCCTGTACAAAAAAAAAAAAAAATTCCTACCAGAGCTGGGGGTGCAGAGTGTGCTGGGTGCCGCATTCCCAGTACTCATTCAGTCAGGCAACCAGGCAGTCAGTAAAGTTGCTATCAGAGCAGCAAACGTGGAAGGGTCAGTAACAGAAGCCCCATAACCTCTCCTCAGGAATAAGGCCTGGAAAGGAGACACGCAGGAAAGACATCACAGTGTGGAATGTTTCACTCAGAAAACTGATGCTAACAAAGTGAATTGCAAACGTATTTTTCTA